GAACAGAACCCTGAGACTATCACAGAGCAGGTGCATTTATACGGAGACTTGATTACACACAGGTGGATTCTATTTATCATCATCAGTCATTTGGGACAACATTGGATCATTCATAGATCCTCACTGAACTTCTGGAGTGAGTTTGCTGCACTGAAAGTAAAGGGGCCCAATAATATTGCACGCCCCACTTTTCAGTTTATTTGTTTAAAAAGTTTGACACATCCAATAAATTTCATTCCACTTCACGATTGTGTCCCACTTGTTGATTCTTCACAAAAAATTAAAATTTTATATCTTTATGTTTGAAGCCTGAAATGTGGCAAAAGGTTGAAAAGTTTAAGGGGCTGAATACTTTCACAAGGCACTGTATCAGGCTCCTCTCTTGTGGAACTAACTTCCAGTTTCTGTCCGTGAGGCTGACACATTGTCCAGTTTTAAGACTTTACTTTTTGATAAATTCTATAGTTAGGGTTGCCTTGGGTTTCCTGAGCACCCTTAGTTATGCTTCTATAGGCCTAGACCGCAGGAGGACAAACTGACCACATGTCTTCACTATACTACCGTCTTTACTTACTCTGCTCAACCTGTTTTGTTTTTGTAATTATTTTTTCTATCTTTAACATGTGTGAGACTGCAACAAAGCCAAGATTCAACTTGTCTGCTGGATTCCTTAGATAGAGAAATTTACTAATTGACGTTTCTACGTATGTGAATGTTTCTGTAAAGTGCTCTGAGACAACTTCGTTGTGATATGGTGCTAAATAAATAAACTGCATTGAATTATAACATCACTAAATTTATTCAAATGCTAGACTTCTGTAAATTTCTGTCTCCTTATGTCTCTCATGCACAGAGGTATCAGTAATCAATAAGAGACTAATCGTTCTGATGCGTTTGGATCAAGTTCTGACCTGTTTTTATACAACAAACATTCAAAACTTATGTACGCAAAGGAAAATATTCAGTCACGAGGACAATCACATTTAGTGAAGAGGTGTATGAAAGTACAATAAATCTATTGAAAGTTTAATTTTATGGACTGTTTACAATGTTAAGAAATTTGTAAAAAAAAAAAAAGTTAATAAAAGATTAATAAAATAAAAAGGCTAATTAAAAAAGGTACAGGCACTGTTTTTCTGTTAAGGATAGGTCAGTCAGTGAGAAAAATCAAACAGTTTTAAGATGACTTAAAAAAACAACTTCAGTCTTCACCTCGAGCTGCAACAGATCTGAGTCTCACATGGACCTAAAGCTTTTCACAATCCTATTTAGCAACATGTTGAACAAGTCAGACCTTTGCTTCATGCTCCAACATCACAGCACTGTCAGGATTTGAGTCTAATCATTTGGGTCAGGTTGTGTCGTCACTTTCCATCAGATTGAATCAATTGAGTCTTTTGATAAAACTTCAGTATTCATTTGCTGTCTTTTTTATTATTTTGAATATTGTGAGTGGAGTTCTGTGGAAAATGTCATAACCAAGATCATCTGAGACAGACTTTAGACCAAGATCATCTTATTATAGACATTTTGGTCAAACCTTGAAAATAACGTTTGCAACGCAATTTGATGCTCAGAGTGTGTGTTGAGAACAACTCAGCTACTATCAGCTAATTTCAGCTCAGTAACTGTAAACAATGAAACAGTGGATGGCACTTGCAATGAATGACTCTCAGCCACTACCACAGCAAATATTAGGACAATATCAGTAAACTTAACTGACCCGCAGGCATTTTTGTGATTTCTAAGGTCAGTTGGCTGTAGCAGCCATGTCAGGCAGACTCAAAAAAATGAATTGGTTCTAGGTATACATTCGTTGATTGCTTTCTGCAAGTTTCATTACAATTTGTACAGTAGTTCCATGTGATATTTTGCTAACAGATGGGTAAAGGAGTACATACAAAACATTATTGCCCACCTTTTAGCTGCAGATGAAAATGAGCTCAATAAATATATTTATTTTGTTCAAAAGAATAGAACCTATTTTTTAAGTGCAAGTTTTTCAGTTTTACTCTGAATTTGGACCAAAACCTGGAAACTGAAGCTGATGAAGCAAACGTGACCCTGGAAGGAGCTCACAGCTCGGCTCACATGAAGCATCTCCAAACGACGATTCTCTACTAGCAACATCTGTGAAAAAATATTAAAAATGCCTAGTTTTTCTACCAAAAGAAATATACAGAGCAACACACACTGAAAATACTGCAGTCAGAATTCATGGAATTCATTGAATGTCCACCACAACCAATTACCAAAAATAACGAGCAGACAGTGAAAATGTTTGGCCTGCTCTACAAACTGAGCAACACACTTAAACGATACTGACACCAGAGCCTGTTGGTTAAAAGACTTTAAAAGACACATTTGTGACCAAATGTTACACATCAACAGTGAGCACAAGATTAGCTGCATCCACTGCTTCTTCTGTCGGCTGCTGAGTGAACTCCTCTGTGGGGTCACAGGTGAAAGTTCATTTTCAGTGCAGACCCTGTAGTTTGTGGAAAACTACGGACATGTAGTTTTAACATAAAAATAAAACAAAGCAACAACAAACTGTGGATGCACCGTAATTTCCGGACTATAAGCTGCTATTTTTTCACAGGCTTTGAACCCCACGGTTTATACAATCCATCCATCCATTATTTTTTACCTGCTTCTTCCTTTTTTTGGGTCGCAGGGGTCACTGGTGCCCATGCCCAGCCATCACTGCGCAGGAGGCGGGGGACACCCTGGACAAGTCACAAGTCCATAACAGCCACATAGAGACCAACGAGACACCCATTCACTCTCTCACACCTAGAGACAATTTAGTTACCAGTCAGTCTAACATGCATGTTTTTGGTCTGTGGGAGGAAACTGGTCACAGTGGACCTGGAAGGGGGGGATCCCCAATCTCTCCTTCCCTCCCCCTCCCTGCGGGAGTTTCCCTACGAGAGTTTTCCCCCTAGTTGTTCACAATGAAGTATTTACATAAAAGTGAATTGTAAATCAAATCAAATTGCAAATTTGCCTCGAGTTGAGAGAGATAACAAGAGAGACTGAAGACGTGTGCGATGAAGTTTTTCTGAGGCTGTTCAATTCTGACTGTGAAGAAGATGACTAGTGGTTTTAATGCACAGGAGGAAGATGAAGATAGTGTTCAAGACTTTTCCTGGTTGGCTACTGTATTTTTTTTTTTTTAACCCGCCATGTTACAGGCACTGTTCAGAAAAAAAATAATTTACTGTATGTAGTTGTGTATGTGGGCAGCACGGTGGCGCAGTTAGTAAAGCTGCTGCCTCTCAGCGAGCATGTTGTCCGGGTCTAAATCCAGGTCTGGGGACCTTTCTGGGTAAAGTTTACATGTTTTCTTCGTGCTGCGCGGGTTTTCTACGAGTACTCCGGTTTCCTTCCACACACCCAAAACATGCATGTTAGGCTGATTGGTAACTCTAAATTGTCTCTAGGTGTGAGTGAGAGAGTGAATGGTTGTTTGTCTCTATGTGTCCCTGTGACGGACTGGAGACCTGCCCACGGTGTCTCCCGCCTCTCGCACAGTGATTGCTGGACATGGGCACCGGTGTCCCCCACGACCTTAAAAGGAAGAAGCGGGTAAAGATAATGGACGGATGGATGGATTGATTTGTGTATGTTACCGGTACGTATTTAATTAAAAGTTTAAAATATCTTTCTGTGTAACATATTTCTGTGTAAATATCTCATGTTACAACGAGAACACCCACAGCTTATAGACCAGAGCGGCCTATACATGTACAAAATTGTTTTTCTTTTTAAATTTAGTGGGCGCGGCTTATACTCAATGCGCTCAATAGTCCAGAAATTATGGTACTAGGGGAAACATGTTTGGTTTAGTTAATTCATGAAGTTAACGGTTTGTTTTCGGACATGGGAACCTTATTCTCCCTGCTGTAGCACACCAGTAGTTTGTGCACCCATGCTTTTCCATAAAATGACTGCATTAGGTAGACTTATGTTTAATACTCGTTTTGTTCAGGTGTGTCTTCTGGTAAAGGGATAATTCAGGTATTTTCTCGTAACCCTGAGGCTCCAGGTTCTAGCCCAGGTTGTGTCAGGAAGAGCACCTGACAGAAAACAATTACCAAACCTTTTAGTGCAAGTTCACTCACTGTGGCAACCCTTGCACACAGGAGCAGCCAAAAGGACCCCATTATTAACCTAAGCAGTTGCAAGGAAATCAGCAAAAGAAGTCAAATATAAAAGTCTATGTAGAAAACCTTTTAAACTAATTAATTTTTTTCCTTTATCCCTCCCACTACCCATAAATCAAAAAGATTCACATGGGTTATTTGGACCTATGGGCAGCAGGAGGTTCAACAAAAACTTTTAGCTTCTTTTAGTCATTGCTTTTTCGTTTCACTACCTTCATTTCAGTCAAACCATCATTCAGCTTGTTCCCAAAAGCAACAAGCACCTGTATCTGAAAATTAAAAAAATAAAAATAAATAAACTTACCAACCAGCTTGTCACCACAATGGGATATCCAGCTGGCTTGTTAGCGAACTGGCAAAGTGCAAAACTTAAAATTATTCTGGACAACAATGACTTAAGATGGGTCATGTTTTAGCTTTTTGTGGTGAACATTTTTTAAAAGCTTCAATTATTTTAAGGGTTGGAGCCTCATATTGAACACATGAGTGTTGTTGTGTAGCTGTTTAACAAGCCTCTTGTTCTTTGTCCTGATGCATGCTCAATAACCCAGGAAGAAGAATTCTAGTTCTTTGCAGCTCTTGAAATTACTTGGTTTGTCAAAACGGTGTTTGAGGGTCCTCTGGAGGGTAGAATGTCATCTGCCACAGACACTTTGGTGGATAATCACTCTTGCTGAAAATAATTCATGGTGATTGATAAAGAATAATTATATGAAAAGTGAAAGAGCTGGACAAACCTCCATGAGAACTTCCAGTTAGTGATAAAACAGACTGGTTGATGCAACAGGTAGCAATAAAAGGCAAAGGTGGGTTTTCACCTTCAGATTTGGTCTAAAGCCCAGTGAGGTCTACAATAGCCTTGATGAAGATGGTGTCGTCACGTATGTAGGAGTTTTTAGAGTCTAGCTTGGAGAGGGGACAGAAGAGCGGGCAGCCGCTGGCAATGTTCATATCACTGACCGGCCTCTGGAAGGACGAGGACGTGATGTCGGGCCGGAAGGCATCGATTATGTGCTCCCGGTTGTTCTGGTCCAGCAGCATGAGGGTAACCTGCACACAGAAGTGTAGAAGTGCAACCTTGTATCTGCTCTGACAGAAAACTGGAATTAATCAGAAGTTGTTCATTACCATCAAAATCTGGAGTTTATGAATATAACCAATGTTTCCTGAGTGAGGGAAATGAGGTGCAACACAATAGTATGGGGGATTCTAAAAAAGTTAAATCTGGTCCTCTGGACATTCAAAAAACAAAACAAAGCAAATCAACAAAAAAATGTAGAAACGTTTCGTCTCTCATCCAAGAGACTTCCTCAGTCTGAGGAGCTGTATTCAGCTCAGTCTCTTAAATAGCACTGTCTCAGAGTGGATCAACAAGTTTTGCTGCTGACAACCAAAACCAGCTGATCACATGCTCAAGAAGGACCATCAGCCTAACAATGGGTCATTAGCACACTGATGGCTGTTTACTGTTCACAGAGGGCTGAGTGATACTAGCAATCACAGCATTGTAAGAGGGGGACAGTTGAACCCGGAGGCCTCCACCCCTGTTTAATGATGGACGGTTTCTTTTCACAAAGATGGCCTCCTTTACTCCTCTCTCAAACCATCGTTCCTCTCTGTCCAGGATGTGAACATCTTCATCCCTGAAAGAGTGACCGCTGGTCTGGAGATGAGTGTAGACCGCAGAGTCCTGGCCTGATGATGTTGATCTTCTGTGCTGGGCCATCCTTTTGGTCAGTGGCTGTTTAGTTTCCCCGATGTAAGACTGATCACAGCCCTCCTGACACTGAACAGCATACACAACATTGCTCTGTTTGTGCCGGGGGACTGGATCTTTGGGATGAACCAGTCTTTGCCGTAATGTATTTTGGGGTTTAAAAGCCACTGGGACGTTTAGAAAATAAACGTCTCAGTTTCTCTGATACTCCCTCAACATACGAAATGACCACTGGTCTGGGTCTGGGTTCCTCCTTTTCACCTGTTGGCTGACTGGAGTCCTGTTTGGGTTTCTTCTCTGCTTTCAGGAAGGCCCAGTTAGGATATCCACATTGCTCTAGAGCCATTCTCTTGCCAGTGGGACACTTCTGGAGAGCACGTCCGCTCCGTGGTTCAGCACTCCGGGGACATGTGTTGCTCTGAGTGACAGCAGTCGTGTACTGCTCCATTGTAAGAGGTTGTACGTCAGATGGAGGAGGGGCGGTGAACATGTGCCTCCTTGTCTGTCTATGTGAGCAACTATACAGCTGTTGTTGCTGTGCACCAGCACATGCTAATGAGAAATCAGCCCCATTTTGCTGAAATGTTTTAGAGAGAGAAAAACTGCTATCATCTCCAACTAATTTATATATAGTCGGCTCTGCCTCCCAGCACAAACACGTTGGTGTGTCTGTGTTTGCATATCTTGCCCCTGTTGGGAATCAAATAACCTTTGATGATAAATGGTGGAAAATAACAGAATATGGATTGGTGAATATAAGGTTTAATTATGAATTATGGAAAATAGATCATATAAAGATGGTTAGAATTTCTGTTAGATGTGGCCATAAGCTGATAAATAATATATTTTCAAGAACTGTTAACTTTAAAATCAAACCATGACACTGTCTGCTGTCAGTAGGACAATAGTGACTTATTTCTAATGAGGCCTTTAATGACAAACAAAACATCAAAAAGGTTCTTCCTCAGGTAACTGAAGTTAAATTATAGTTCACATCATTTGAGTATGTGTGGGAATGATAAAATAAGTAATGATGAGTAGCTTAATAGGTCAGAATGACTTTTGTAAGACTTGATAATGTAACAGGTTGCCGAGGGGATAATCAGAGTCTTAGTCTTTGTAAGATTATGTGTGGCTTGGTGCTGATTATGGGTCATATACTCAGTAGAAAGAGAGGGCAGCTAATGTGTGTCTGATAGATTAGACAGGGACTTCAGAGAGTCTGTAAGGTGTTTATTGGACAGGAATTGAAAACAGGAAATGTCACTGGGTGGAGAAAATCTTCTATAAATGTTGAAAGAAATTTGAGACATGTCAGAATTGTACAGAAGGCCTCTGAATTCAGGTAGTATAAAACAATTCTCTCTTGTTCACATATTTTGAAGTCTGTAAGAATAAAGATGTTGTTTAATTCTGATATAAACGTGTGCTCCTTCCGAGCAAATGATCCGGGCAGGGGAGAGGAGAAGAGATCATTGTTTCCCTTTACACCCCCCACACCCAGCCAAACTTTGACACGTCTATCGTGATTGGCATGCGAGATAAGACTTGACCCAGGGGTACCCCTCTGTTGAGAAATGCTCTATTCCGCCAAGGGAGGAATGCACGCAGGTAGGATGGTGAGATTTGCACCCAATTTGGCGGCAGGGGGCAGGGTGATCATGTTTACAGGATTGTTAAGCTTCAGGGAAGGGTCCATTATCACGCCCAGATTAGTGACTCTTTGTTTTTCTGACAGGGTTAGAGCAGAAAAGTCGATGCAGAGGTTTGTGAACGTGTCGTTGGGAGGGAACAACATGACTTCAGACTTCTTTTCATTGAAACTTAAGAAGTTTAAAGCCATCCAGTCCCTTATGTCAGCCAGGCAGTTGAGCAGCGGTTGAATAGAGCATGTACCATTGTGTCTTAGGGGGAAGTAAATTTGACAGTCATCGGCATAGAAGTGGAAGGGCATGTTGTGTTTCCGGAAAAATAGCACCAAGCGGCAGCAGGTATAAAGAGAATAGGAGGGGACCCAGGATGGACCCCTGCGGAACCCCCCCATTTAAGCTCTGCCTCTGCAGAACTAAAATCCTTGATGGAGACACAGAAGGATCTGTCAGTGAGGTAAGATCTGAACCAACTGAGGGCTGACCCTGTGACGCCCACCCACTGCTCCAACCTAGCAATGAGGATCTCATGGTCGATGGTAGCAAGCAGCACAGAATCACCGGTATCTGTGAATCTGAAGATGTCGTTAAAGACCTTCAGCAGGGCAGTTTCAGTGCTATGGACAGGTTTAAAGCCAGATTGGAATAGCTCTAAGATGGTGTGATCCTCCAGGAAGCACTTCAACTGGGACTCGACTATTTTCTCCAGTACTTTAGAAACAAATGGGAGTTTGGAGACAGGCCGGAAGTTGGAACCGACTGAGGGTTCAAGGTTTGGTTTTTTCAGGAGAGGCTGGACAGCAGCATGTTTAAAGGATTTTGGCACCACGCCAGTGGATAAACTACTGTTTACTATGGCAAGAATAGACGGACCAAGAGTAGGAAAAACCTCCTTTAGTAGTTGAGGGGGGACCACGTCAAAGGAGGAGCCAGAAGGTTTCAAGTTGCACATGACCTGCTCTAGAGAAGATAGTGATAGGTTCAAAATGGTCAAAAGGAGCTACAGATTGAGGTGGGATGGATGGGTCATGAGTTGGAGGGGAAATGAGAGCCCTGGTGGTCGCAATTTTTTCCAAAAAGAAATGTAAGAAGTTGTCGCACAGCTCAGTCGAGGCTTCCAGAGGTGATGGTTCAGTGAGGTGGAGAACAGAATTTAGGGTGGAGAAGAGGACACGTGGGTTGTGAGAGTTTGAGGTAATTATATCAGAGAAGAATTTTGATTTAGCAGCTTTTACTGTTTTCTAATAACGGCGCCAACTCTCTTTAAGTATTTGAAAAGAGACCTGCAGCCTGTCTTTCCTCCACTTCGTTCCGCCCTCCTACATTGCTGCCTAACGGCCTTGGTGACGTCACTCGGCCAAGGTTCTGCTTTGATTTTTGATTTTTTGGTTTTAACAGGTGCGATATGATCCATAGTCTTTAAGCAGACAGAGTTGAACTGGGATGTCAACTCCTCAGTGGTGGAGAGAAACGCTGGGGGCTGAATTATCATTTCAGAGTTATAAACATCTGTGAAACGTGTGGCAGTGAAGTGGTTAATGGTCCGGCTGCGACATGCAGGAATGCACGACTTAGGAGTTAGATGGGGGAGGGTGAACTCAAACCAGACTGGCATGTGGTCTGAAAAAACATTATCACCAATAACAAGATTATTAACAGCCATATCATGAGTTAAAACAAGGTCCAATGTATGTTCACACTCTTGGGTGGGACCGTTTACATGCTGAGTTAAATTAAATGAGTCCAGTAGATCTAAAAAGTCCTTAACCAAGGGCTTCTCAGGACAGCACACGTGCAAATTAGTCCCCAATAATGAAAACATGCTCATATTTTGGTGTGATTTCAGCCAAGAAGTCAGAAAACTCATTTATGAAACCCTTAGATCGAAGTGGACGGTAGACGAGTGCAAATAAATTCTGAGGTGAATGTCCGAGTTCAAAGACGCTCAGCTCAAAGACGCTCAGCTCAAAGCTGGCATGGGAAACTGGGATGGGCAGTTGTTTACAGTCAAAAGTTGATTTGAATATTGTTAATAATCCACCACCGCGCCGGCCTGATGGCTGCGGGGCGTTAAAACACAGACAGTTCGGTGGCAGTAATTCCGTCAAGGCGCTGGACTCACCCAGAGACATCCAAGTCTCTGTGATGCACAGAAAGTCCAGATCGTGCTGTTGAAAGTAGTCCCTGAGGACAAAAGTTTTGTTGGTAACAGATCTTGCGTTGACCAAACACATACGGATATTGTCCAAAGTGGAGCTAGCAGTGGTGGAGTTAGCGCGCGCTAATGGCCGCAGGTTTTCAATAACAGCCCCTCCAGGTCGGTCCGAGCTGCACAACGGCTGACAACTCTCGCTGGTTACCTGGTCGGGGCACGCGGGAAGCTGGTGATGGAGACCATGACCGCCAGCTGGAGAGGAAGATGCAGCGCGCAGAGCTTTCAGCTTCACCAGCTGACCAGCACGTTTTCCCCGGCGTCTGAAGCGAGATCTCCGGGCAGGGAGGTGAGGAGCGCAGCAAAGGTAAGCTGGCATGTCCGCCAGCAGGGGGGGAGGAGGGGGGGGGGGGGTCCAGAGGTGCGCTAATAATGGTCCAGATAAGCGACATCAGTGCCAGAAAAACGAAGATTCAAAAGTTGTTGTCTGTCATACACCAGCAGAGAGTTGATGTCACAGATGTGAAATGCA